ACATCATTTTAAATGGTTAGTCAAGTGGAGTTCATTGCCGGAAACCGCGTCTCAAAAGGTCCATCCGTTACAAAATGGCGGCTGTTCAAAGTTCTTGTGGAATATACCTGCACAGGCCTTAGTATTGGTAAATACTCGTATTAAACATCAGCTTGAGAGCTGAAATTGTGTTTTAAAGTCAACTAGCTCATATACTAAGTTTATTCAATCTTCAAAACAAATTTAACCGAGTTTCAGATTTCCCGGCTAATGTTAACTATGAGTTAACATTTACCAATACTAAGGCCTGTGCAGGTATATTCCGCAAGAACTTTGGACTGCCACCATTTTATAACGAATGAACCTTTTTTGACGCGGTTTCCGGCAATGAACTCCACTTGACCAGACCTTTAAAATGATGTGCATTTAACCTATGCTTACACTAAAGATTACGTACCTACTCCTCATGGGCCGTCCCCTGGTGATGGTAAAAAAATGGTAATGCTTGCAAAAAGTAGTTTTCATACATATAAGTTGATGTGAAAGGTTTGAGTTTTCTAACGAATTTAGTTAAAAAGATATCAAGCCGTTTCCAGACTTTTTTGTCACCCTGTATATAAAAAAAAAATAATAAGTGAAATAAGTGTGCCAGCCGTTTTATTTAAAAACTAATAGAGATATCAAAAAAAGTTAAATGGTAAGTGCCTTGGATAAAAAAAAAATTGTAGTCATTTCAAAAAAATTATTTTAGCCGCCATTTTTCCAATATGGCCGCCAACTTTGATTTTTCTTATGGAACACCCTGTAATTTATGATGTATTTTGGTAGAAAATGTAATTTTAAGACGATTTTATACTTGTGATTTTTTTCATAAGCCTAAACGTTTCAAAGATAATAATGGTTAAAGTTTTGAAATTTCAGCATGAGAAAGAGTTTCGATAAAGACCTAAGCAAGCAAGCCAGCTGTTTTATTCGAAAACTATTCAAAATTTCACAACTTTAACCATTATTATCTTTGAAACGGTTAGGTTTATGAAAAAAATCACCAGAATAAAATTGTCTTAAAATTACATTTTCTACTGGAATACATCATAAAATACAGGGTGTTCCATAAGAAAAATCAAAGTTGGCGGCCATATTGGAAAAATGGCAGCTAAAATAATTTTTTTGACTTGACTACAATTTTTTAAATACAAAATCCAAGGCACTTACCATTTAACTTTTGTTGGTATCTCTTATGGTTTTCGAATAAAACAGCTGGCACACTTATATCAATCACCCTGTATAAATAAATGTTTTTTATTGCAATAAAAACCAACTAATTCCTTAAGTAAAATTCTGAATTTTAATATTGCAAAGACCGAATATCAAGTTAATTTTTTCATATATAAAATGGTTTTTTTGTTGTCATAAATAAAAACAAATTTTTTTGTAACTTGGTGTTTTAATAGTTATGTAACCTAAATTTTCACATGTCAATCCTAAGGGAACTCCCAAGTTTGGATATGGAAATGACGGTCTCAGATCTTATGATTAGGAAGTACGACTTTGATAAACCCTACCAAGTGGCCATTGGAGACAGAGGAGAATGGCAGAAGGTAAGGGATAAAACAGGAAAGTCGGCGATGGTGTTTTACACAGACGGATCGCGGAGGGAGGGCAGGTCGGGACTTGGAGTGTATGGTATTGGAACCTACCTCTCAAAGGCCCTCGGTGAAACGCCGACTGTCTTCCAGGCGGAAGTCATGGCAATAGAGCATTGTGCGAGACTGCAGTTGGACAAAGGCCTGAAGAGGAGAGGGGTGCTTATCCTCTCAGACAGCCAAGCTGCTCTCAAAGCAATTGACGCCTGCGTGGTGGAGTCTAAAGTTGTGCAGAGCTGCAGGAACACCCTCAAGGCCCTGAGCGAACACAACAGAATCCAACTTGCATGGATCCCAGGTCACGCTGGGCACAAAGGCAACGAAAGGGCTGACGTCCTGGCGGGCGAGGGGGCAAAATCCGAACTCATTGGGCCTGAACCATGCTGTGGAGTCCCAGTGAGCAAGGGCCGATCAAAAATCATAAACTGGGCAGAGGGACAACAAGAAAAGGTTTGGGAAAATACCCTAGGCCTGAGACAATCAAAGATGCTAAGGAATGGAGAAACATCTTCGACCTCCAAAAAGAAGAAATAAGCCTCCTGATAGGTCTACTTACAGGGCATGGCTATGTAAGGAAGTACCTTAAGACAATAGGACTTAGACAGACAGACCAGTGTAGATTCTGTCTCAATGAAACAGAATCAGCTGAGCACATATGGCTGGAATGTCCGGCGTTAGCCCATAAAAGGTTGAAACACCTAGGAAAGGCATTCCCGTTGCCTACTGAAATAAGAGAAATGGGTGTGCACCAACTGATTGGCTTCGCAAGAAAACTTCGGTTAGGTGACTAAACAAAAAAGGGTGCTACAAAAGATCTTGTAGGTCGAGGTAGCAAGGGGTAAGAATACCCCAGCCCCATGAGAAAAAAAAAAAAAACCTAAATTTGGTTCATGTACCAGTGGACACGTTTTGTGTGCCTTCTACAACCCCGAATACATGGTCAAACCACTCAAAGACTCCAGGATGCCAATTTATAGCGTAAAATGAAAATCGCCATAGTAACGGTGTCCACCGTTGGTGCAGGTCAGAGTTTTGGGAATCACTGTGTGTACCACCGGTGGTACACGCCAAAGTTTCCAAAAACTTAAAAAATGGGAAAAAAATTATCAAAGCGAACGTGTTAACTTGTGTTCGCCTGTGGTCTGCTTGTACTGTTAACCAAGTGACAGCCAGTCTATGTGTAAGATTAAAATGTATACCTCGGTCTATGGCAGTGAATGCTCGGTAGCAAACGTGTTAAACAATTTTAACATGATTTGTAAGCTTTAAGTTAATTCCGAGTACCTATATACCAGCAATTTTTTAGGCACAAGTTACTTTACAAAATAGGCAATCTTACATCTGTTTTTTTTTATTTACCTCAATACAATATGTATTACCAGTTTTGTTTGCAAGCACTCCCAAATCAGAATTTTTTTAACTGAGCTCTTTGTAACAGGCCTAAGATCTCAAAATCTTTCTTTATGCATTTACATTTGATAGAGAACCATGGAATCGAGATTGTTTAAACAAATGGTGGCATTAGTTCTCAGCTAGAGGGCAATCTTACATCTGTTTTTTTTTTATTTACCTCAATACAATATGTATTACCAGTTTTGTTTGCAAGCACTCCCAAATCAGAATTTTTTCTAACTGAGCTCTTTGTAACAGGCCTAAGATCTCAAAATCTTTCTTTATGCATTTACATTTGATAGAGAACCATGGAATCGAGATTGTTTAAACAAATGGTGGCATTAGTTCTCAGCTAGAGGGTTAATCTTACATCTGTTTTTTTTTATTTACCTCAATACAATATGTATTACCAGTTTTGTTTGCAAGCACTCCCAAATCAGAATTTTTTAAACTGAGCTCTTTGTAACAGGCCTAAGATCTCAAAATCTTTCTTTATGCATTTACATTTGATAGAGAACCATGGAATCGAGATTGTTTAAACAAATGGTGGCATTAGTTCTCAGCTAGAGGGCATACTTACATCAATTACTAGAAAAGTATCGGATGTCTGAACTGTAACACCATTAACAAATCCGATGGCAACACAAATGCAAAGCCTCTATCGACAGTGTCATATCATGAAACTGTGGGCATTTTGCTATTATTTAACAAACACTTGCCCAGACATCTGCTATGCAGTTAATATGGGGGCACAGCATGTGACTAGTCCTCAACCATCAAAGACTGGAACCAATCCAAGAGAACCCTTCGCTACCTGCAAGGTTCTAAGGACTACGCTCTACACTACACGAAGCGGAGTGATGAACGGAAGATCCTGCAATGTAACACCAATGCAGAGTATGCAGGTGATGAGAAAAGCAGAAAGTCAAGTTCAGGATGTCTATGTTTGTTTGATGGCAGAGCCATTAGTTGGTTTTCGAAGAAACAAAATTGTATTTCACTATCCACTACTGAAGCGGAATACGCTGCTGCTAGTGAAGCTGCTAAGCAAGTAATATGGCTTAAAGGCTTGTTAGAAGAAATCAGGTTCTTCGATCGAAGCAACTACAGTATGTACATTGACAATGCTGGTGCAGTACAATTAGCACACAATCCTTCAACGCATGGAAGTACGAAGCACATCAGTGTTTGGTTCCACTTTGTTAGAGAGCATTTCAACAAAGGATGCTACAAAATGTAACATGTACCTGGAAGACTTCAGTTGGCGTTGGCAGACTTCTTGACGAAGAGTTTACCTTATAGTGGACTGAAAGAACTTTTGAACCTCTTAGGTCTGAGGGCAAAATAATATGAAACATGTGAGTTGGTATCCTTAAAATAATATGATGTGTTGTTTATTATTAAATAGTAAAATAAGCACAAAAATAAATTCAAAATAAAAAAAATTAACTTGGGCCTTATGGGTTGCTATGCTGGTGACGAAATATAAGTTTTTGTCCATGGGGTGACCTCTAGTATATATAAATAGCTTATATAATATATATGAATTTGAATGTATAGTGTTTTTGGCCTCTAGGGACCTCTAAACGAAAAAGTAAATCGGTCCCGGGCCCCGGGTCCAAAGTACTACGGTAATTAATAGCTTATTCCCTATATGGGAAATTCGCTAAAAACTATACTATGATTAAGTTTGAAATACCGGTTTGTGTTACTTAAACATTTATTACCAACAAAACAACATAGGCTACAGTGGGACAAGTGTGGCAGTCTACAGGTTTGGCAATTAGACGGTCGGCTGGCGAGACCCGCACACTACGTAACACTATGACCTTGAAGAGTGGAAAGGTTGCACGTGCAGAGACATTCCCTTATATGCCTTGAGAAAATAGTAAATCAATCTCTCAATTATTTGTATTGAATAGTTACTTATAGTAAAATACTTTACTGGTTTTTTGTTGAAGTTAACTAATCAAAATATGTTTTCAGATGAGAAAAAAGTAAAAGCTCACAATGAACGATACAGGTCTTCATGTTCACATGCAAAAGCAGTTTTCAAAGAAACGATTCAAAGTTTTCCAAACACATATCTAAATTCAATGATATGTAAACCCATGGTCGAGGTGGGTATAATTAAGTTGTGTTACTGTACTATTTATTATAATGAACTTTACAACCAAAAGGAACATAAACCAAAGAATGTTAACCAATGATGTTCATAATCCAGCTCAAGTAAAAGCATTACAAACATCGACTTAACGCTGTGCACCAGCAGTTTTATAACTAAAGGATTATGTGTTCAACTCACACGGATTGATTTGATACGCTATCAATGATGTTGATGACCATCAATGATGAGGCCACCACGACAAGTATCAATCTAGGAACTGCGCCACATTGGCTTCATGGTTAATGATTGCTTCAAATTAAAGCACTTGTACTAGTTAAATTATGTGCTGTTCCTAACCTCCTGTTAGCACATGTACACAGTGCTGAATCTACATGCCTTTCCTCTTTAGAGTAAGAATTAACTTTGATAAGGTTTGGCTATGTTTCTTTATTTAAAGTTTGATATGAAGCTATATTTTTTGATACTCCCACAGAGCGGAGAGCAGGGGTGCCCAGAGGGGGGAATTTTTTTTGGGGGGGGGGGCTTTTTTGGTGGGATTTTGGGGGGGATATTCTTTGCTAGCTGTCATAATGAAAGTATAATTTTGTATAAGCAACGACCGAAAAAGTTTTTCTAAGTACGGTAGTTCACTATCAACACCAACAACATTTTGCCATTCGTAATTAAGATTGCTTCTACGAATGGTAAAAACGCACCTTGTTAGACAATTCTTAACATGTACGGTAGGGTCAAATTTGACTTGCTATATATGTTTTGGCGGTTCTTTAACCTCACGATCGTCAGACTTACAAAAATATCCACTTCTGGAGGTGTCGTCAGAGTACGTTACAAACATTTAACGCAAAATGATTACAGATAGGCCTATCAATTCAGGCGTGTAAATTGCTGTCGGCAAGACTGGAAGTATACAAAATCAGGTTAAGGTTATGATGGACCGACGTGGTCTCTGGATTATTGTCTGCGTTTTCAACAGCTGATACTGGACTATTGTAGTGACTGAGAAGAGTGTTGAAAATTAGGGGTGTGCGAATATTCGAACTTCAAACTTTTTCAAATCGAATATCAGGATATTCGATTCAATTCAAAATGTCTAAATAGGTTTGAAGTTCAAATCGAATATTTAAATGATCCACCTACCATTTAAAAGTAGGTTATAATCAATTATTATACCAAATTAAATGATTATTGAGCGAAGCTCTTATACGTCGACTCTTATGCATTTCGTAATACGCAAACTCCTCCTAGACGGCTGAATCAATCGTTTTCAAATTTTGCATGGTGATAAAGACCATATCGGTGACTGCCAACATCTATATGGCGTTTAAAAAGTCTCTCAGGAATCCGCCCCTCTGGGTCACAAAGTTTCAATGTAATCCTTATGGAAGCAGTATTTGACACATAAACAAAGACATATGATCAACTGTTACTTTTGAATGCAGTAGATACAGAAATAGCTGATAGCTGTATTCCACAGATATAAGAACAGAAACGGTATGGATCATAAATATTATCAAATGACGACACTAGCTTAAGGTCCGTGACGTAGGAAGGGGATAAGGAAGTAATACAGACAAGCAGTCTGGAGTGTGGAAACTGTTTATGACGATTAGATTAGGGTATCTGCAATCCTAAAATGCAATTGAAAGGGAGGAAAACAGGTCCGTGATGTAGGAAGTGGTGAAGGAAGTAGTCAAGGAAAGCAGTCCGGAGTGTTGAAACTGTTTATGACGATTAGATTAAAGTATCTGCAATCCTAAAATGCTATGGGAAAGGAGGAAAACAGGTCCGTGACGTAGGACGTGGTGAAGGAAGTATGTAGTAAAGGCGAGCAGTCTGGATTGTGGGAACTGTATATGACGATTGGATTAAGGTATTTGCAATCCAATAATGCTAAGGGAAGGGAGGGAAACAGGTCCGTGACGTAGGAAGTGGTGAAGGAAGTTGTAAAGGCAAGCAGTCCGGAGTGTGGGAACTTTTTATGACGATTAGATTAAGGTATCTGCAATCCTAAAATGATATGGGAAGGGAGGGAAACAGGTCCGTGACGTAGGGCGTGGTGAAGGAAGTAGTAAAGGCGAGCAGTCCGGAGTGTGGGAACTGTTTATGACTATTAGATTAAGGGATCTGCAATCGTAAAATGCTATGGGAAAGGAGGAAAACAGGTCCGTGACGTATTACGTGGTGAAGGAAGTAGTAAAGGCGAGCAGTCTGGATTGTGGGAACTGTTTATGACGATTAGATTAAGGGATTTGCAATCGTAAAATGCTATGGGAAAGGAGGAAAACAGGTCCGAGACGTAGGACGTGGTGAAGGAAGTATGTAGTAAAGGCGAGCAGTCCGGAGTGTGGGGACTGTTTACGACGAATAGATTAAGGGATCCGCAATCGTAAAATGCTATGGGAAAGGAGGAAAATAGGTCCGAGACGTAGGGAGTGGTGAAGGAAGTAGTCAAGGCGAGCTGTCCGGAGTGTGGGAACTGGAAATTGTTTGTAGCAGTTAGAATAAATTATCTGCAATGCTGAAATGCTATGAGAAGGGATGGAAGCATACCCACGACATAGGAAATGGTGAAAGAAGTAGTAAAGGCTAGCAGTGCGGAGTGTGCGGAATGTTTGTGGCAATTAGATTAACGTATCTAAAATACTAAAATGCTATGGAAAGTGATGAAAACAGGTCCACGACGTAGGAAGTGGATTAGTAAGTAGTAAAGTATGAGCATAGTGTGAGAACCATCTGTGGCAGTTTGATTAATTTATCTTCAATTAATGTGTCTTCAATCCTAAAATGCTATGAGAAGGGAAGGAAACATGCCCCTCGTCGTAGGAAGTGGTGAAGGAAGTAGTAAAGGAAAGCAATCCGGATTGTTGAAACTGTTTATGACGATTAGATTAAGGCATCTGCAATCCTAAAATGCTATGGAAAGGGAGGTAAACAGGTCCATGACGTAGGAAGTGGTGAAGGAAGAAGTAAAGGCGAGCAGTCCTGAGTGTGGGAACTGTATATGACGATTAGATTAAGGGATCTGCAATGGTAAAATGCTATGGGAAGGGAGGAAAACAGGTCCGAGACGTAGGAAGTGGTGAAGGAAGTAGTAAAGGTGAGCAGTCTGGAGTGTGGAAACTGTTTATGACGATTAGATTAAGGTATCTACATTCCTAAAATCCTATGGGAAGGGAGGAAAAAAGGTCCGCGATGTAGGAAGTGGTGAAGGAAGTAGTAAAGGCGAGCAGTCCGGAGTGTGGGATCTTTTTATGACGATTAGATTAAGGTATCTGCAATCCTAAAATGCTATGGGAAGGGAGGGAAACAGGTCCGTGACGTAGGACGTTGTGAAGGAAGTAGTAAAGGCGAGCAGTCCAGAGTGTGGGAACTGTTTATGACGATTAGATTAAGGGATTTGCAATCGTAAAATGCTATGGGAAAGGAGGGAAACAGGTCCTTGAGGTAGGAAGTGGTGAAGGAAGTTGTAAAGGCGAGCAGTCCGGATTGTGAAAACTGTTAACGACGAATAGATTAAGGGATCTGCAATCGTAAAATGCTACGGGAAAGGAGGAAAACAGGTCCGAGACGTAGGGAGTGGTGAAGGAAGTAGTCAAGGCGAGCTGTCAGGAGTGTGGGAACTGGAAATTGTTTGTAGCAGTTAGAATAAAGTATCTGCAATGCTGAAATGCTATGAGAAGGGATGGAAGCATGCCCACGACATAGGAAATGGTGGAAGAAGTCGTAAAGGCTAGCAGTGCGGAGTGTGCGGAATGTTTGTGGCAATTAGATTAACGTATCTAAAATACTAAAATGCTATGGAATGTGATGAAAACAGGTCCACGACGTAGGAAGTGGATTAGGAAGTAGTAAAGTATGAGCATAGTGTGAGAACCGTTTGTGGCAGTTAGATTAATGTATATTCAATCCTAAAATGCTATGAGAAGGGAAGGAAACATGCCCCACGTCGTAGGAAGTGGTGAAGGAAGTAGTAAAGGCTGGCATTGCAGAGTGGGGGAACCGTTTGGGCAGTTAGATAAATGTATCTGTAATACTTAAATGCTATGAGAAGGGAAGGAAACAGGTCTATTACGTAGGAAATGGTGAAGGAAGTAGTAAGGCTAGCATTGCAGAGTGTGGGAACTGTCTTTGGCAATTACATTAATGTATCTGCAATACTAAAATACTTTGGGAAGAGAGGGAAAGAGGTTCACGACGTAGGGGGTGGTGAAGGAAGTAGTAAAGGTGAGCAGTGTTGAGTGTGGGAATGGATTAATGTATCTGCAATGCTAAAATGCTATGGGAAGAGACTGTAGACTGTAGGTTAAAATGATTACGAAGCACGATTCGATACATATTTTATTTTCAAAACATGCAATCGTTTACAATCGAAATTAAAACTGAGTTGGCAACAGATGATTTTTACTCCATAGAGGCTAAAAACGGTTTTTACTCCCTAATGAGTAAAAATGCTACTTTAGACCCGCAACGTATGCATTAAAAAAGACTGAATGCATTCAAAGATTTTACTGCAGTATGACAAAAACAATATAATATGAATCCTTGATGACTCCGCTCAATGTTGTGGATGCCACTGCAAACACCACCTAGTTTATATTGTTTCTTAGTTCTAAAAAGTAAGAATAAAGTCCAACTACGAGTTTACTGTCAAGAATACGTAAGATCGGCAGAATAGAATACAAACAACTGACACGACGCGACAGTCGACACGACATAGGCGCGGCAGCTCAGATGAGTCGAATCCGAATCTCGAATCCTAAGAAAAGATTGGGATTCTAGATTCGATTAACGAGATTTGAGAATCGCTGACAGCTCTATCTATCTATAATAACGTGTAGCAGCACAGCGACAGCAGTAGCAGTGTCAATCTACGCATAGCTGAAACAAAGCCAAACTCGGTCTCAAAACTTAAGGACATGGCTTGAATTACATCTTAGACGAGTATTAATTGTATTTTAATAGGGATAATGATAATAGAATTTCTCGATTCAATACCAGTTCTGAAATATTACTCACGATTCTCGATACCGATTCCGTATAAAAACTTATATTTTTAAGGAAGTTGCCATCGTCAATGTTTTGTTGTTCGTTCAGATTCTAAATCAGACAACCGGCGTAGTTCATGCCGGCCCAAAATTATCGTGCGCTCTCAGTTATTTATCGTATCTAAGTGTGATAAGTAATCAGGGAACCGTTCTTGCTTTTTACGAAATGAAATAGTCGTAGGCTGAAAACATCCAAATGGAGGTATCACTGGCACGTCAACTCTGCTAGAAAATCGAGACGCTGTAAAAGGTTATGTTGGTACCACTAACCACTAGAAGAATCAATCAGCTCATTGGCTGTTGGCAATTGCAATGCCCTAGTTCCAAAGTACAATTCCCCTAGTAAATATAGTGGCCAACGTCTCTCAATTCTCGCATTCAGTGCTACCTTGTAGCTTGTAGCTCTAGTTCAGTACCCGCAAATATTGCCGCCATTGCTGGTATCGACTCGACTTAACCTTGATTGTAATAAGTAACTGTCTATGTTCATGTTTGTGTGTGTGTGTGTGTGTGTGTAGACAGGACAGTGAAACTAGGTAGACGCAGGCAGGCAGCACCGGCACGACGATTTAGACAATACGATTCCCAATCGACGCACGACTGTGGATTGAATTGATCGTATTTAATATTTTATTAACAGAGTATACTATTTGAACCTAAAAATCACTATTCACACACCCCTATTGAAAATATATTTGGATTTATAATTAATTTAGTGTCTTCAATCAAAATTTGTGTGCTGTCCCTCGTATTATGTATTTAAATACTTCAAACTCTTCCTAAGTAATTAAAAAATTTGCTTTCCCGCAGTAATGTAGAATTTCGAGACCATCATTTATATCCAGCATATAAATTGGTTATTATTGTCAATAATTTTGAATGGAAATCTCAATTATGAATCCCTTTATATTTTCAACACTCTTCTCCATCACTACACTACAATTAGTCCAATATAAGCTGTAGATAACACAGACGACAATCCAGAGACCACGTCGGTCCGCCATAACCTGATTCAGTTTACTTCCAGTTCTGCCTGCGGCAATGTACTTGCGTGAATTGATAGGCCTATCTGTTATCGTTTTGTGTTTTTTATTTAATGTTTGTAACATATTCTGACGACGCCAAAAGTGGATCCTTTTGTAAGCCTGACGATGGTGGAGTTAAAGAACTGCCAAAACACTACCATGTCAAAAAACACAAACCTGGGGCTACCAAAATTAATTATAATATAAGATTACCGTACTTCGTCACAAAACCTTTTGTGGTGCTGGTGGCAATTAAGGTATTGTGGGTATTTTGCCCGGTGATTATTGTAGAAGGCAGCCTGGGAGTGGCGAGCAACGCCTCCTAGTCTGCCCTATTTCGTGACCTAATTTTAAAACAAGATACTTTATGCCAAAGTATTATTTGTGCACTTAAAGTTATTTTAATTCCCCCCCCCCTAAAAAAATAGTGCCCTATAAAAATTTACACCACCTAAATATATTGTTGGCTACAGTTACAGTACTGTGTTGGAGTAGAGTAATTCACCGAGAATATTGTTGAACATTTTGAAGACCTTGCCTATTTTAATACTGACCACGCGTTGGCTGACAATACAGATTCTAATTGTAAATTGAAAAACTTATAATTCGTCCATTAATTAGATATAACTTTGTATTGTTAAATTACGTTTCCTATAAACATTTAATTTTGATTATCAGCAAGTTTGTTTTTCTTTACCTCAAGTTTACTAAATACTTGAAATGCTCGTTTTATGTGGTAAAGGGGAAATTTACAGGTAAATTGGAGGGGGGAGGGTAGGTTGAAATAGAGGGCATCATAAACTGGGGGGGGGGATTGTGGCACTGGGTTTCGGGGGGGGGGGGGGGGGGGTTGGGCACTTCTGGCGAAGAGTGTGAACAGTGGCGGCGACAGCGGGCCCGCAGTGCCCGCGGTGCGGGGTGGCCCGCGAAGCTATGGGGGCCCGTGAGCCCTGACTGGAATTTTTCGGGAAATTTTACCGGGACACGGGCCCGCAATTGTGTGACAGGCTCAGCCACACGGGTCCCTATCATAACAATATTTATATGAAATGACCATAAGTTTTTTTATGCCGAAAATTTGTTAAACCCAGTAAGAGCACTAGGACAAGTAGTTAACAACAGCTTAACTGACACTATTATTTGGCCGATCGATATAAACTCCCTACCAACCTAAGCAAAAGAATTGTCATCAGTCATGCAGGTTGCATCAACACTCCTCAAGGACTGCGTGAAGGCGCTATTTATAATAGGGCCGTATTTAGAACCAATGTGTCCCCGGCCTAGGAGGATTGTTAATCCTCCTAGGCCATGTGCGGTGGGGCACACCAGAGAGGGCCCTCAATGCTGATTTAACTTAATGAACTTGACAATTTTTTACGATCAAATCGGCGAATTAACCTAGGTGCCTGATGCACTAGCTAATAAATAATTCCATTCTTTCATTGACGCTAAAGAAGGATTTTCATTTCACTTCATTTCTTACTATTAGGAGGCTGCACTTTAGATTTGTTTACTTCGAGTCAGGTAAAAAATTTTACTTACTTATAGGCCTCGGGCCAAATCAGAGCGGTTCAAAATCGGTTTGCTTTGGAAACTGTTGATTTTTATATAATGTAGATTTTCGAGCCGAGTACTTGAGCAGAGCCTGTATATAAGCTTGAGAGATCAAGCACAAAGTCAGAAAATCAAGCTCAAGCCGATTTTCTCAGTACAATAATGCCCAATTAAAATTAAAGCTTTTATGTCCGCAAGGATCACGCTCACGAAATTGAAAGATTAGGCCTACGTTTTTGCCGCAATCACGGATATCGACGAGAACATTTCCCCGCGAGTGACGATGACGATGTCTCAGCGGCCGCAGGAGACGATTTTGCCGGATTGCGGAAGACGTTATTGACGTTTTTCTGCGAGCGAGATATATTTATGATTTTGCCGCGATTGCGGAAAAAATTATTTCCCCGTCACCACGGGTCGCGGGGCGGGAGATATTAGGGATTGGGCCGTGAACGCGGGAGACGATAATGTTGTTATCTGATGATGTCATAGGTCATTTTGCCGCGATCATGGAAGACGATGATGACACCTCGGGAGACGCCGTACCAAGCTAAAGTGCAAGTTTGGGCGCCAATTTATGTGATATAATATTTTATATATAATATTTTTTTAGATTATTGGGAGGGGGCCCAGTGAACAAACTTGCGGGAGGGGCCCGCGAGCTCTTATCGCCGCCACTGAGTGTGTATCAGTGTCAGTGACCATCATGGTCTATGCTGCTATGTTAGAAAAATTCACATTTCCATCCAGCCTGTTATCCAAAGTTATCCAGTTTGAAAGATTGTCCATCCGGGAATCTGCTTACCAACTGATAATCCTAACTTGACAGATTTTCCTGACGTATATTCATGGTGTTTTTTTTCTTTGTAAAGTATTACCTTTCAGTACATCTTTACAGCTATGATGTTCCACCATCACAAAGTAAGTTCTCTAAAGTATTCGAGGGAAAGAGGATAATCTGATTGGTTTTCAACACTTTGACACCTGAGTATGAGCCCCGATCACATTTTGAAATAAATGTCACTCTTCATGGATGAGGCACATAGTCCAAGGCCAATACTTGCAGAATGCAGGGAGTTACATAAAGTAAAGCGTATTAGGTTCCTTTTTGGAGCAGGCTGGAAAGATTTTATCTTCCAACAATTTCTCACAACTAACTGTCACAGCGTTTTCAACCTGCGGAATTTTTTAATAGAAAAGAACAGATATACTGTATCTTGAAAGTCTTTATTTCCACTAGTGGCTAGGAAGTTGGAGTTGTTGACATTGTTGCCTCTGTTTACACATTTTGTTATAGGCCTACTAGTTTATGGTTCATAGCATGTTTATGGTCTAAAATGTTTGTCTAAAGAATAATAAAAAAAGAACCTAAGTACCAAAAAAGGCTTTTTTTGAAAACTTAAGGGTTCAAATTTTTCAGGAACTGTTAAATGATCAGAACAAATGTCTTAACGAAACTGGACCAAAGCCTCGACCATCAAGAGCTCGGAAGCCTGACATCACATGCAATGCCCTATGTGAATTTAAAAGGCCTAAAAGTATGTACTTTAGTTACTATTTTTCAAATAGCCTTTGTGTACACCTACTTCATGTGTACTCTTATTTTACTTTGCTTGTCCATAAAAAGTGGTTGTTTGGGTATGTAGCTATGGTAGTTGGAAAGTACGCTACAATCGGCCGTGTGTATAAAATTAGATGTTTTGACCTGTAAAACTTTGGAATAAGTAAAAATCTACTTCATTTGTAATTATTTATGTGATTAACTATAAATATAATTTACCACTGGTCTAATTTTGTTGGCTATTAACTCAGGAAACTGATTGAATTAACTCTTAAGAATGATTAAATATTTTATTAAATGACTCCTGCCAATATTTAAACCTTTATAAAAATTATAATATATATACAATATTTAAGAAGTAAAAACAAATACAGTAGAACTTTGATTATATCCAGGGTAATTGGTGGGAGGGAGACCACAGATAATTGAAAACCACGGTTAATCCAACATGGTATAAAATACAATATCCAACAAAAAACAATATTGCACAGTCATAATGTTGCACGTCATTAACCTTGGTTCAGTTATAAAAACTGTTCAGTTTAAAATCACAGCTACCTCAAACTAAACAATGAATTTGCTTATCACTGTACAATCACGTAAAGAACAAAACAGAGAGTCTAGTAAAGCTACTGCTAGAGATAGGCTACCGCTAAATGCTATTTCAGAACAGAGGAATGTCCGGATAATACGGTAATCAACTACATTTGATGATCCTGTAGTTGAAAACAAATCTTATTGGCCGCAATAAAACATTAGATAATTCAATGTACAGTATTATAAAATAGGCTAGTACGGTATAAAATAGTAGAACTTAAAATAATAACAACACCTGTTGCTGGAAGTCAAATGTTCGTTAGGTCAAATAATTTAAACTTGTGCCAATAGGTCAAAAACTACAATGTTTGCAGTGTTTGTAGGTCAAAATCCCATTGAATAAAATAATAAAGTCCGTGCCAAAAACGTATGGTAATCTCTGTTAAAGCGATTGACACATTGGGATTTTAATATGACAGCAGTTTTAATATGACAAAATAGGATAAAAGATAAAATACAAGTTCTGTTTCACTGAGTTCAACAGTGACGGAAGGTCAAAAAAGTAACGTCGGTTCAGTCGAAAGTAAACCTCCAGCAAAGCTCGCTATCAACAACAACTATGTATCCAACAACAACAACAACAATTATCGCTTCTAATTACTTTGTGTTTTGTCATAATTAGAATAGAGCTAAAATTATCATATTTGGTACATAGTAGGGGTGTGCGAATATTCGAAAGTTCGAATAGTTGAACGAATACTTTAGTATTCGAGCCCGACTCGATCTTAATGAGTATATTCGAACATTCAAATAGTAAAAAAACCTAGAAATAATCTCTAATTTCAACCAAATAAATCATGGTATTGTGTTGTTTTATTTAATCCCAACATTTCATGCTTCATATTATAAAGTCACAACAGCAACTTCAGCATATTATGACATCTTCCTTAACTCTAAAATATACACGACAATTTTCAAGGATGATAATTTTGTTGTGTCATTATTAAAATCACTCCGCTAAGCTGCCTAGCTTACAATGTTCCAATACGATAGGTTTACTGCAACCCACTGGCATGGAAACACAAGACTGTCAACCATTCTTATTTGATTAATAAATTAACAATAGCCTATATTAACAGCAGCAATTAAGTTTGTATTAGTTTATCAGACATATATCTATTTGTATAACTTTTAAATATATTCTCTTAGCTTGGTTAATATTAGGATCTACTTTTTGTAATGTGAACTTAAAGCACAGTAGAATGAGGAAATAAGTTGTCTGAAAGTGTTGTATGAGTAGCAACTAGTAAGTTATGAAATTAAAACTGCACTTCACAGTTTTTAGCATAGATTAAACATACTCCTTAACAAGACACAAACTACCATGAATTAATTTCTATGAAAATAATCAGCAACATTTTTTCCATTTTTGAACAGAGATATATATTTTTTTAACTCTACTTTCTTGTTTTGTTACACAATTTTGTCTCTGCTTCTCTTCTGAAACAACACAACCAGCTGCGTAATAAAGGCCAATGACCTAAATATCATGACTGTGCAATGTTGTATTTTGATGTAAAAATGCAAATCATGGCATTAATTTGAATATATTTGTAGTTATTTCAAATTATATTTTTGATGATTCAAAGTTTCTACACGGAAAAAGATAATCTGAAGTCAAACCGGGCAAAGGATTCCTGAAAATACCACTTTGTATCATTGTCCTGCTGTTAGAATCCCAGGCTAAGCTAGCCCTCCAGTCTAAATATAGCTTCAAGGTTGCACCCTCCCCTCCCTCCTCGCCTTCTCCATTCACAGTGGCCCGCTCCCTTCGAGGTCATTGTCCAACACATCACACCCTTCTATTGTTTTGCTTTTCTAGTATTTCTATTCTGACTTTTTCTTTAAACATTAAATTAAATAAATCATGGAAGTCGTAATGGTATTAGTCTGTACCGAAATTAGGCTAGTAGCTCAGGGCACCGCAGACCCCTAACTGCATGCATTTATATATTTTTAAAGTTTAAATTAAAAAACTGTTATTGTGTTGGTTGGAAAAAAGTAACCAGTTGTGTTACATTATCTTGTCACAATGTTGCTGCAAACATGATTATTCTTAAAAACTCTTTACCTAATTTTTAACTACCTGTACGTTATTATGGCTATGACCTATCTTAGTAGTAAAAAAGGTTAAGCCTTTATCTTAACTGTTTTTCTTCTTGACATAATCATGTTAGGAGACAAAGATGTTGATAATGTGTCATACTGTAATTGTTGTTAGAAAACCATAAATGTAGGAAATTGTTCATTTTTATTGTAATATCAATGAAATAAAATGAGAAAAATACAGGAAGCCCTGTACCGTACCCATTTTGTACCAAGAACAAATAATATAGGTAAGGGCAAAAATCGATTATTTTTAATGTTACATTGGTTAAAATCAGAATTATTAACCTTAGTAGAGTTCCAAAGCTGTGATTGGAAAACTCTTTGGAGTCTATAATAATAACATAAATATTCGCTCGGTAATATTTGATATTCGAAAATATTATAAAGTATTCGATTCGATTCGAACCCAAAAATCACTATTCGCACACCCCTAGTACATAGCTCATCTATTAATGCTTCTTGCTAACTGGTTGGTTAAAAATGTAAATATGTTGTTTATTTTTCGAATATAAAGTAATGTATTTGGTATGAAATCCTTTTGTCAAAATTTGTGACATGAAATAGGAAGTATGCGAGCAATTTTTTATGTTTTGGTCAGAAATGTTTTGTCAGTGATAAAAGTTTTGCTAATAAGTATATGCTTAACATAAGTTTTTGGGAAAATCTTTGGAACATTGGTTCGAGAGATATTTCAAGCTAAAGATGAGGTAATACTCATCTTGACGCTGCGGTCAGGACGAGCATCTCAATTTTCCTGGTGATTATTATATACGTTTGAAAGATGGAGATCCATTTGATTTTAGAACTGTATCATGAGTTATAACGTACACAGATATATATGATTAAGTGTACATATTTTAAGCCTTGGTAGGTTTGATTAAACTATTACCTTACCTTACCTCCTTGGCCATTGAAACCTCAGAAGGTTTTTGGCCTCGCCAACGATGCTTCTCCACTCTTCTCTATCCTATGATTAATCTCTTATATTATTAAATTTATACAATCAAACTTTCTGTTAACGGTTAAGGCCATTTACCGATTTACATATAGCACATAAAAGTGAAGCTTTGAGTTTGTAACCTCGACCTATGCTGCTATTTAAGAATATGGTTTGACTCCTCATGGGCCACCCCCTTAAGGGATAAAAGAGTGATAATAGCTTAAAAGAGTAGATATTTCTGGCTAATAGGTCTCATTAGACAATAGACAATAATCTTTATTGACATGTTCGTTTAGAACAGTACATGTGTCAGAATAATAACTAAAATTTGTAGATTTAATATGTTGTTAAAGCTGGTTGTCAAGGAATTCTTTATCTGAGTAGAATGGCCTTTCTTGCAGCCATGTTGTTAATTGTTTCTTTAAATGGTGAGTTTGTTCATTTCTAAGTTGTTCTGGTAGGTTGTTAAAATACAGGGCCCCTTTGTAGGATGACTTCTTTTCAAAGAGTCTTAGGCCCGATTTCACCAAATTCAAGCTAACGATGGTTTAGTTAAACTTCGGTTAAAACTAACTGATGATTTAAACCACAGTTAAGGAAATCTGGTTTCACCAGCAAAAGCGCGTGAAAACAAACGCTGGTTTTATAAACGAGAGTTTAGTGTAAAATCCAGGTGGCGGTGGCAGTGAAAACTGTCATAATAGCGGGCTGTTATGGGAGCAATAAGTAAACATAAATCTGAAAATCTGAAGAAAATAAATCTGTGTTTATAATATGAGGTAGTGAAAACAAAACTGGAGCATTGAAGGCAGCAAGAGTACAAGTAGGCCTATACAATAGATTCTGAGCAACAAGAACAAAATAACAACATAAAACAAGAACAAATAGCTAAACAATTAACATTAAGTAAATAAAGGCAAAGAAATATTGATAAAACAAATTCAATTGAGGATCAGAGGATTGAGTACAGTATTGCTGTTGAGTGTTGAGTCAAGACTCAGAATCTAACCTTTACGGTACATTTGAAATATTGGCAAAACTTGAGGCAAAAAGAGTTACAAGAACGAGACATAGTAAAGATACCATAAAAATAATGATTTTTTATAAATACCAGCAGAATAATGACAATTTAGGTTTAGTTATTGTCATTAATTACGTCTGACCAAACTAAATTAATTGTTTGACTGTAGGGTTAGGGTTACTCAAAAGGAAAAGGGAGCCTATTTTTTTGAACAAAGAAGAAAGGAATTTGATAATGTAGGTAGAAAAACACTTTTTCAGCCGGGATAAAAGAATCGGTGTAAAATAAAAGAGTGGCTGATCACATACCTAGAGATACGCCTTTACCAAAAACCTTGTGGGATAACCTAAAGAAAAAGGCAAAACATTTTAATAATTCATATCTAGTAATAAAATTAATTTCGTCTTAGTTAAATCATTAACTTTTCTCTTATCCACCTAGTTCGGCGAACAACATAGGATACTCTTCATCACTATCACTTTCAAAAGCTAACTCGTATCGTATGCTCTTCTAGCTTCTGGCCTTTCCATATAAACCTAAAGCCAGAGCTGATATTTATTTAACGAAAGATTAAAGAAGTTAACCGGTCAAAATTGGGCAGTTAATTATCTAACGACGGTTTAGTCTAAACTAGCGCTAACGGCGAGTGGTGAAATCCGATTTCGTCAGTTAAGAGCTAACTGTAGTTAGAGCAAGGCTTAACGGCGGTTTAAATGTTTGGTGAAATCGGGCCTTAGATGGTGAGGCGGTATTGCAAAGCTAGAGGCGTTCCGTGTATTGTGATGGTGAATGTCTCTGTTTCTTGTTTCCTTGATATTGAAGGTCTGCTAGACATCTTATAGCTCTTTTTTGGTGGATAAGGACTATTTTTAGATAGTTGTTGGATGTACTTCCCCAGACCACCAGACCATACCTGAGGTGTGACTCGACCAGGTTATGGTAGCTGTTTTTGCGGTGTCCAGACAACCAACCTGCTTCACTCGCCTGATGATGTAAATGCCAGAGCGTAGCTTCTTGCAGAGTTGGTCAATGTGCTGTTTCCATGTCAGTTTTGAATCCATGATAATGCCAAGATATTTGGTACATTTTGTGCTTCTATCCCAGGGATGAATACTTTTGTGTCTTTATTTTTAGTAGAGTAGTTCAGCTGAATAGTTTTCTTTTCATTTAGAGCCAATTCATTTACTTTGTGATATTGTTTAGTCATGTTGAAGGTTATATTGATGTTTCGGTTTAAAGTTTCTGTTGATTTGTCAGTTAGTGTGATGACAGAGTCATCTGCATACATTGTGGTTTGGCAGTATTCTTGTAGCTGGTCTGGTAGGTCATTTTTGAGGAGGAGGAACAGGACTGGTCCAAGAACTGATCCCTGTGGTACTCCTCTCCGTATAGGGACAATTAATTTTGGAATGTATTTTATAGCGAGTGTTTTTTTTCTACATGCTGAATCTCAACTAGTTGCTGTCTGCCATTAAGATAACTGTGGAACCATTGTTTAGACTTTCCCTCAATACCCAGAGCTCCCAATTTTCTAAGAAGTGTCTTGTGGTTAAGGCAGTCAAAGGCCTTGCTAAAGTCCAGAAACAGATTTGTGACTGAGGAGCCATTTTCTAGTTGTTCTATTATGTGCTCGGTGAGCTGTATTAAGGCAGTGGAAGTGGATCTTCTTTTAATGAAGCCATGTTGCTGGCTGGTGATCAGCTGATTTTGGTCTAAATGGGATATTAGTCTGTTAAGGACAATTTTTCAAATATCTTAGAGAAGGTCGGTATAAGTAAAATTGGTCTCTAACTTTTAGCATCTGTGTTTGGTCCACTTTTATATTTAGGGTATTCCTTGGCAGTTTTCAGCTGTGTTGGGAAGACCCCTCGTTTGAGAGACTTATTTATGAGTGCTGTTAGTGGGTTAATCAGTTCATTTTTGCATGTTTTGACCAGTTTGGCTGATATTTCATCAGTGCCAAATGAAGTTTTTGGTTTAAGTGAGTCTATTGCTTTTAGTACTTCATTACGTGTTGCAAGCTGAAATTTTAATTTGTTAAAGGAGGAATTTCGGGGGTTCTGGTGTGTGTGTTGGTGTTGTTGGCCTGAAGTGTCCTTTCTGCAGCTGTTGCAAAAAAAACTGTTGAGGTGGTTTGCTATTTTGATTGGGTCCTGTAATGTCTCCCCATCTACAAGGAGTTCCCACTCATTTGCTATACTGGTACCTACTTGATTTTCTCTCATTATTCATTACCTGCCAGAGTGCCTTGGACTTGTTGTCGGCATTGCTTATATAGTCGGATGTTTGAGTTTTCCTCAAAGTCTTTAGTCTTAGGTCATAGTCCCTTTTTCTTGCTGCAGTTTCTGCTTTATCTTCAGGTAGACATGTGCAGTTTTCTTTTTCCAGGGCTTTTATATATAGATTTCGGGCTTTCGCAAGACGGTGTGGGTAGTGTATCACTAGGGAAGGTTGTATTCTTGGCATTCTCTTGCTGAAGTATTTTACTTTTAATGGCTGCCAAAGTGTTTTCTGTTTCTTCTTGCCAGGTCTTCAGCTTCTCAAGTAGCAGGGGCATTGAGCTGTTTTGTGTTGGTAGCTCAGAGCTAAGGGTTTGAGATTCAGAGTTTTTAAATGTTAAAATGTTTTTTTGCTTGATGATTTCCAGAAACTTTATATTTTGTTGGGTTCATAATCATTTGTTCTTTATTTGTTTGGTTCTTTATTTCTTTTTCTAGATTACAAATTACTTGATCTTTGTCCTTGTCTTGATCTCCAAACATTGTTGTTAGTTCAGCTCTGGGTTGTCTCTCTTTGATTAGCTGTTGCTCAGCTTCATTTAAGGTTTCTGTTATCAATGTTATTTGATTTAATAAAGATTCCTTCTCATGTTCTAGTTCTTCGATTTTTGCTTCATAGTTCATTTAAAGAGAATTGTTATTGTTGAAAACCTGATGGGTTAGTTTAGTATTTTCTATAGTCAAATCATGTAGGTCTTGTTTTAATTTATTGTTTTCTGAAAGTAGGACATTACCAACTTCAGCAACTAAAGTTAGGGATGTCTCTAAGTATTCCTGTCCTTGGGCTTAAAATTGTTTTATTTTTGCTTGAAGGTCTTCTGAGCTAGTTTTGACTTGACATTCAGAGGTTGTTTCAATCTTTTGATCGCTTAAGGGGGTTGTGCATGTAGGCAGAAAGGGGATTGAGTCCCTTTGAAGTTTACATTCTTTGCAGCTCCATGATTTGTAACCAGCTTTAATGATTTTTCTGAAATCACTTGTTGACATTCCAGTACATTTAGAATGGAACCACTTTCTGCAAGGACCTGTACAAACTATTGCTGAGTACTTGACTCCAAGATCACACACACCACATGGAGTCTTAGACATGGTTTGGTTTTTATGGACAGTGCCTAAAAATTGGGCAGTTTTTTAGACAAGCTTTGGCTAGTTGCTTCTGTTGAGAATTTAAAATATTGTGTTGTCAGTTTTTTAGGCAAGCTTTAGCCGGTTGCTTCTGTTTAAAATTGAAAAAAAATGTGGTAAAAATTGGACATTTTTTTAGGCAAGCTTTGGCTGGTTGCTTCTGTTGAAAATTGAAAATATTGTTTGATAAAAATTGGGCAGTTTTTTAGGCAAGAACGAAGTGGCGGACTTTTCAACAAAACGAGAGTAGACAAGATTAAAGCTGATGTTATTGACATGAACGGAGAGGATATGGCTGAGTTTTGGTTAATAGTTATGATTTTTTGGAGCAAAACTGGGTGGGCTGGTGACCACAAAAAACTCACTGATTAAAGAGTGACAAAACCCAATGGCTTGTTGTTCCTTAACTAGAGTAAGTACTTCCAACAAGCGTACATTCGTAAGAGCACTACACAAAGCATCAGACTGTGTCAGCCATCTTGAGAGCCTATTAGTAGGTTTGAATGCTTACTTCTGAGACTTAAGTCCTAAACTTTAATTTTTAGTCCAGCACTGGTATTTAAATTAAGTTTTACTTATCAAAATGTATATTTGTTAATCTGTTTAGCTCCTAGAGTAAACCGTAGTTCATCCAGGAAGCGATCAACTTCAGCACCGCCACCAATAACTACTCCTTCATCTGACAGATTCAAGGTATTTTGTCTTTCATTTAACATCATCGTCGTCTTTTAACACCATACACTAAATACTGATAGGCTAGGCATATTTGGAATGTTAGCGGAAAGTTTAGGTACAGTCCTAATCACCATTATTCCTTATGTTTTTTGGGTCGCTGAACACCAATATGAGGTTTGCTGACAGATATTGTCAATTTTTTTAGGTTTTGGGCTAAATCTCGGTAAATATGAGTATTTTTTTTTTAAAGACCCTGCTTTGTAAAATTAAAGAAGAAAAAATTACTACAAGTTTCATGTATAATATTATTTTGTTTTTACAACAAACCGTTTGTGACGGTGCAATTTCGTCCTAGGATAAAATTGTACTGTCCGCCTCGGATAGCTAATCTAATTGAGTTAGTCCAGGGTTAGTAGTAATAATAATAGTATTAAGTTTTAAAATATGGGCTCAGATATGGTCGTTAAAGCATCAGCTTTCAGTAAATGACACATTCATCACTGCCCGGGTTAGGCCTTAATTTAAACAAATTGGCGTTAATTCCGTGAGTGAAACACTGGTCGTAATTAACTAAAATCTTAACTTCGAAAATAAAAACAAACCTCTACTTAATGGATATACCGTGTTTCACTTTTGGAATTAAAACCAACTATACTTACAATTAACCGAATCGATTGTCGCGGGTCCACGAGCTATTTTTCCCTGGCCTAACACCTACTATTCGACGATACTAGAGTTATTTCACCACTGGCTAATTACCGGGCTATTCCGCCCTCGCCCTACCAGGGAGATGTTGCTAGCTATTCGCCCAGCACTGAAGTCCGAGTCCCTGTCCTGCGCGGCTTTTATAGGGGTCGCGACGCTAGCGCAGTGCGTGGCCGCTCTGTGAACTAATGACTCTGCGCGGGCCATTTGAAATCGCCTAAACGCTCGTTTTCTAATCTCGTAATATTTTTACCGTTACACGTTAGACCACTAGATCACACTAAAAATAACCAGAAGTATAAAAAAAAAATGAAACTAAACGCTTTTACATTAGGTTTCCTTTGAAACAACCCATGTTACGATAATTTTAACTATTCATGATAATAAAATGGAACACACTTAAAAACTAGGTGTACAATGCATTTGTCCGCTTGCAATATTGAGCGGAGCTAGCATATTAATTAATCCAATACTCTTCTAAATTCAATGCTACATCTGTTTCTCGTAAATGGGATATATATAAGGCTCTATTCTGGGCCCATTACTTTTCTATGCCATCATAAGGGTTTGCCTTGTATCACACCTTTTGATAACATCACAATGTATGTAGGAACTTGCTAATATCACGTAAAACTTTTGATGAAATCAAAGTTCCCGCTTTTAATCCTTGAGGTGGCGCTTGCAGAGTTTTCCTCCGCACTTGTAGTTTTTGTTAATATAAATTATGCGGGTGTCGGCAGTCGTGTCCGGCTCCATACTTCACGCACCTCATCCCGGGAATGCCCCTAAGCTATTTTTACCCCCAAATTCCTCCTTATTTTGTTGTCAGTTGCAATTCAGTGATGCGGTGTCCAGGGGCGTAACAGATTTCTTCGGGCCCCCCTGCAAACTTATTTTTTGGGCTTCCTCTCATGAGTTACTTTTAGACCACCAATACAACATAATCAAACAACCTCCCCCCCATGAGTTATTTTTCGATGAACAATACAATGGCCAAACAGATTCATCATAAATACATTGTAGTAGGCCTAGTGGATATATGATGGGTTATGTTCCATAAAAGGGTGTGTTAAGTATTTCAGTCATGGTTTGATATGATAAAGTTACATCATTATATAAATAGCAGTACCCTATTTGTAGAAAGTTTTGAAATAAAATAAAAATACCTTATATTTTAATCCGTATCAGAATGTTTCATTTCAAATGAGGTGTTATATTTAATTTACTACACAGGTTTTCAATTATTTATTAGGTTAGTTTTTATCGATGGTTATAATTAGGCTAACTCACACACTCAAAGTTGGTTAATTTAGAAGATTGACGTACTTTTATCACAGGCTAAAATAGCCTATTGCATATAAAGGCTACTTACAGTCTTCGCAATTCTGTTGATTTAGCACTACGGCCGTTTCGGAGATAACTCCATCGTCGGGTGCGTAGTCATTATATACACTAAACTGAAAACATAGGTGTGCTATTCCTGTAATATGCTGACGTCACCCAGATTGCAAACAAAAATCACCTGATTGTATTGCCATATCTATCTATCTATACTTATTTAATACGCAAGCAGGAATTTTGTGACAATTACTCCTCCGAAACTACTGAACCGATTGACATGTTTTTGGTGTCATTGGAAAGAGCGTAACGTGAAGTTGTGCAGGAAACTTTCTTTTTAGGGAAATAATTAGAGAGTGAGGCCCTGGGGCCCTTTAAAGTTTCGTATTTCTCCATAAGATTAACATGGGAAACAAAAATTGTTTTGAAACTCCAGCTGTTGTCAGAAATTAAATATTAATAATTGGTCTCCATGGAAGCATGAGAAAATTCACAATGTTTACATTTGCTTTGACATTTAAAATGTAAACAACCAGAACTGTCAAATGCCTATTTCACAATTTTAGACAGCTGATAAAAAAATAAAACAACTATGGGTAGGTTTATTTAATCTTAAACTTTTTGATAGATTATTATAAATCTATTTCAATAATTATGAAACAAATTTTTCGCCTATTTCACAATTTTGGATGTTGGTTTGTGTTTAATGATATAAGTTAGTTATTAAATTTTTATTTTAAGTTTTAAGGATTTGGCATATGACTAAGCCTATGATAAATAACACCAGTTCAGATTTCTGCCAGTTTTTGCCTAACTCTGTCCTGTAGAGTTTAAAGTAGCCTACACCTTATTGTCTACAAATTGGCTAAATAACTTAGGTACGGTACTTAATAAAAGCTGACAGCCTTTTTACGTTGACCTTAAATTGTAAGCTTACCGTACCTTTTCCCGTCCATGGGCAGTTTGATTGTTAAAAATTCACCCTTTAAAATCGAAAAGGACTGTTATGTAAATTGTAAGTATTTCCATTGGTTGATAATCTTTTTGTTGGCTCTTTTGCTCTTTTAAAATCATTGGAAATAATGACTGTTATAAGTTTTCAACCAAGTAATTTGTTTGTAAATAACTCCTGTACTTCTTTGCAATTGCTCGATTTCGAGCAACATGTACACTAGTACTTATTTAATACGCAAGCAGGATTTTTGTGACAATTACTCCTCCAAAACTACTGAACCAATTGACATGTTTTTGGTGTCATTGGAAAGAGCGTAATGTGAAGTTGTGCAGGAAACTTTCTTTTTAGGTAAATAATTAGAGAGTGAGGCCCTGGGGCCCTTTAAAGTTTCGTATTTCTCCATAAGATTAACATGGAAAACAAACATTGTTTTGAAACTCCAGCTGTTGTCAGAAATTAAATATTTTTTTACGTTGACTTAAACTGTAAGCTTACCTTTTCTTGTCCATGGGCAGTTTAATTGTTAAAAATTAACCCTTTTAACTGGAATAGGACTGTTAAGTAAATATTAAATATTTCCATTGGTTAATAATCTTTTAGTTGACTCTTTTAAAATCATTGGAAATTATGACTGTTATTAGTTTTTAAACAAGTAATTTGTTTATAAATAACTCCTGTACTTCTTTGCAAATGCTCGATTTCGAGCAACATGTACACTAGTAAGTATATATTTGTTTTGATGATTTTTTAAAATGGTGAAACGGTTGTTTGCAATCTGGGTGACGTCAGCATATGACGGGAATAGCACATACCTATGTTTTTCCTGACACCATACCTTAGTTCGTTAATGACTGAATAGGCCTAACAAAATTAAATGATGACAACACAACTTATTATTATTTTTACATTAATGTTATTACTTGTTCAATACAATTATTGAATGATTGGTACTACATTTCAATAAGAATGAACTCCAATTTTTCAGCCCCACTCGTCTCACGGGCCTCTATTCTCGCCGGTTTCCGCTAGCAGTTTCGCGGGCCCTCCCGCATTGTGGGCCCTGCGGGTCCTTCTGTTACGCCACTGGCGGTGTCAGTTTGCGAAGGTTTTCTTTGCGTGCGCCCTGTCGCGTAGCGTCGAGTTTATTTTCACATGCGCTCTTGTCAAACTGTGTGTATATTTTATACATACGGAAATATAAACATGTTTAAATGTATTATTTCATTTATAATTATTATCAAATATATTTTGTTTGCATGTATACAGGGTGATTGATATAAGTGTGCCAGCCGTTTTATTCGAAAACTATAAGAGATATCAAAAAAAGTTAAATGGTAAGTGCCTTGGATTTTTTATTTAAAAAATTGTAGTCAAGTCAAAAAAATTATTTTAGCCGCCATTTTTCCAATATGGCCGCCAACTTTGATTTTTCTTACAGAACACCCTGTATTTTATGATGTATTCTGGTCGAAAAAGTAATTTTAGGACGATTTTATTCTTGTGATTTTTTTCATAAACCTAACTGTTTCAAAGATAATAATGGTTAAAGTTTTGAAATTTCTGCATGAGAAAGAGTTTCGATAAAGGCCTAAGCAAGCATGCCAGCTGTTTTGTTCGAAAACCATTCAAAATTTCACAACTTAAACCATTATTATCTTTGAAACGGTTAGGTTTATGAAAAAAATCACAAGAATAAAATCGTCTTAAAATTACTTTTTCTACCAGAATACATCATAAAATACAGGGTGTTCCATAAGAAAAATCAAAGTTGGCGGCCATATTGGAAAAATGGCGGCTAAAATAATTTTTTTGACTTGACTATAATTTTTTAAATAAAAAATCCAAGGCACTTACCATTTAACTTTTTTTGATATCTCTTACAGTTTTCGAATAAAATGGCTGGCACACTTATATCAATCACCCTGTATGTATAATTGCATTATTGAGGAACAAAACTCTGCACGCGCCCTCTCTCGTAACATACCTTTATACTAGAAAATTGCTCAATATTGTTATTTGAAATATTACTCATATTAAGTTAAAAGAATAATGTTATTAACAAAGGAGTTAGGTTATTCAACATTTACATACAATATTTTGTTATAACAACAAGTAAAATGTGTAAAATTTATGCTATTTAGTGTTGTGGAAAAAAGTTCCGCATGCGCCCGCTCCTGTTTTACTGGTGAAGCACCTCCTCGAGGGTTAACCAGATTTCAACCTTAGACTCTTTAACGAAAAATGCTTGCTACTGAATCCTAATAAAACTAAGTTTATCACTTTTACAGCTTGCTCTAGAATCAGACCTGCACCTGAATTGACAATATTGTTTAATGATCACGTGTTGGAAGAGGTGTGATTCTTGATTTGTGGGCCTATTAATAGACAAAAACTTAAATTGGAATAATCATGTTTAATAAATTTCTAAAAAGTTTGCTTCTGGTTTATTTGCATTAAGGAAGATTTCTAAATTTAGCAGTTTGCTTACAATGAAAACCCTTTCCTTTATCATGCCCTTGTACAGTTTCATTCATATTGCTTTTGTTTTATATGGTAATACGTCAAATGAAAATTTAAATGAAATTCTTATTAAAGAAAAAAAACAAGCAATAAGAAAAGTGTTAAAGCTCAATTGGGATGATTCTGTTAAACACCTATTTACTGAGTTAGGATTTATGACTGTAATAGTCTATACATTTTTGAACTTATTTTGTTTAAAAAAAAGAATTCTCATAGAATAGAAACGTTGGGTCACAAAACCATAGTTACAATACTATAAACAATATAGTATTTGCTTATACAAGCCACAGTCTTAAATTATATGAAAAGAAACCTTTCTATGCAGGTATTAGATTCTACAATGCTCTTTCTTTGTGGATTTTACACACAAGATTTTAATGTGTTTAAGAAAAAATTTAAAAGCTTAGGTAATGCTATCCAAACCTTTGTATTCTCTCTACATGAGTTTATTGATTAATGTAATGTTATAAACTTATCTCCATGTCTAATTTCATGTATATTGCAGTATAAATTATTAACTTATAATGTTTTTGTGTATTGTAAGTTAGTAAAAATCTTCCATCTTAAGAAATAATCCCAGATCTAAATTCTATTGATGCCATTCTATGTACGCATGTATACAAAATTAATAAAGATATTTGAATCTTGAATCTTGAAAAAATTAGGGTGGTTGGTAGATCAACCTAATATATTATATATTCAATCCCTCCAGGTTGAAGGTTTGCATTCCATTCGTCCCTTTTCGGGTGGGCCCAAGAGGAGAGAAACAGCAGCTTCTTCCACATCCTCTTGTGCTCCTAAGGCTTCCTCAAGGTTAAGAAACTGATGACCAGTTTAACTTGGAGATCCAGTAGCATTTTTGTGCACAGGTTTTGGTGCACTTGCATATTGTTACTTTGTAGCTGTGCTATGTGCTCCAGCTGCTGAGGGTGAAGGGTTGAATTCCACCAGTGACATTAACTTTTTGTCAAAGATTTTGCTTAGAATGTGATTACTTCTTAACTGTACATCTTTTGTTAGAATTTGAAGCATTTATAATTTTATTTTATGAACAAATATATTTTTTTTTTTTAGTAAACCTTCATTTGATTTTTATTTTGTATCTTTTTTATATTATCAGCAAGTTTGGTTGGTTAGATTAGGTTATGACAGGTTATTATTTTAATTAAAAATTATAAAATTAATTTTATAATAAAAAAATAGTTTATAACTAAAAAATTATTGTTATAGCTACAACATTATAAAACTAATTTTATAATTTTTCTTAAATCAACGTGAGGGGCTCCCCCACACCTTCTCAGAAGAGGTTTTTATCGATTCCTGAACAGGAAAATGAGACGCTAGTGTGATACCAAAATGAGGTACTCTCACAAATCATATTTCAACAGTCCGCATCTTCAGATGCTTGTTTCCAAGATGTATTTTTTTATGTCATCTTAGTCTTTTCTTGTTATTAGGGTTGGCTAAGACTTTTTTTGTTTTGGTTAGCGTCAGAGTTTCATCATAGAGAATGTCTGCAGAAGTAGTTTTCATTGCTCTTTTAAATCGTTTGGTACTATTTGTTCCACCTTGCGAATGTTGGGGGTAACCATAAAAAACAGAGAAAGGTTGATGCTCTGGCCATACAACTTAGTGTAGTAGGAACTCACCATCAATAACATACTGCACTTGACCTTGGGAGTGCTAGTTTTCAATGGGGACAAGTGCTTAACACAGACTTGATTTGGTTCCTCTTTGCAAACCTTTATTATAAAACAAGTTTATCGTAGAAACAAATATTACGTATGAAACTTGTTGTAAATTTTGTCTTCTTTAATTTACAAAGGAGATTCTTAAAAAAAAAAACATAATTACTGATATTTGGCCCAAAACCTAACCAAATTTTGAAGTTTTTTTTCCTAAAAAAAAAAATGTTTCTGGAATAATATTTGTCAGCAACCTCATAATCGTGTTCAGCGATTCAAAAAAATATAAAGAATAATGGTGATTAGGACTGCACCTAAACGTTCCCTGGTAACTTTCCTAATATGCCTAGGCTATGATCACTTCATCAAAAGTGTCATTCATGGACTAGTTTTGTTATTTAAAATATTAAATCAGAAAATCCATAATTTGTAAAGTTATTTAGTGATTAGTTGGTGTAATTCCGCAGTGAAGAAGAACTTTTCAATTATTTATTAGTGTTACATGGGTATTAAACTTGATTGACTTTTTAAGGTAGGCCTACACAAGGCAATGTTTTTCTTGCTCAAATTTTACTCATTATGTGCAGACACCCACTAACAGTCGGCAAAACCTCGGTCCAATGTCGATGATCACACCGAAGGTGTCAGCCACCCCCATGTGTTTCCTGAGGCGTCCTGAACACGGAGAAGTAGCATTCGCCTCCTCAGGAAGTCCCTTGCTTGTCGGACGTGTATCTCTTGATGATATCCCGACTGTCAGTATTCCTCTGCAAGATGGTCGGGTGAGTACCTTTGCAATTAGTTCTTGCACAACAGCTTTGAATTTTTATATGGGTGGAACAAAATTAGGGTTAACAAATTTTATGTGTTAGTTTAAACTATCAAGCATTGGTGACAAAATAGCACAAATCAATGTTTCCATACCCTCACAGGGTAGGGAATACCGGTCAAATTAAGATTTTTTCAACATATTTGTATTTCCTTAGATGAAATGATACTACCACTGAGGCTTTAGGATAAAACAACTGCATAATCCCCTGTTGTGCATTAGAAGTTTAAAGTTGTAATTTTTTAGACAAATAAATACAATAAATTTTAAGTAAGTTTTCCTGTGTTACAGTGGACTGTAGTCAGTGTCAATTTTTATTAAAAACTTCTTTAACAATCTTTAAAATTATGTATAGAAAATGACTATTTCTTTGATTTTCATTCTTTAATTTAAGAGTTTTTCTTGATAAACATGGTACAGCTAAAATTGAATTTCCTGTAAAAATGCATGTACCTGCTTGATTAGTTTGGCCATATCCTAATTATAACAGGTGAAATACATCTTAAATTGAAGTAAGAATTTGAAAATAAATCAAATTTATGTTTTTCGGTTGAGTAATACAGTAGATAAATATATGCTGATGCTTGATGTGAAATCTGTACGTGCATACCTTCAATTTGAGACTTTAATCGTGAACATTGGTTGGGTAGAAGAGTCAAACGAACTCGAAAAAGAAAAACTGTTGTGTTTTAAATAAAGAATAGATTTGAATAACTTAATGAACTCATTTTATTAAGATGTAAACAGAAAACTAAAACTGTAAAATCAAAACATAAACAATCACAATAAAATAATGATCAGCTGGTATAGCAAAAACCAAATTTAACTCCCATAAGAGCATGGAGAGCAAATTTCGTTTACATATTAGCAGAGTGGGACTGTAGATAAATATGCCGATGCTTGATGTGAAATCTGTGTGTGCATACCTTCAATTTGAGACCTCAATCATGAAAATCGGTCGAGTAGAAGAGCCAAAAAAACTCTGGAAAGAAAAACCAAGTTTGTTATAAGATTGCTATGCAAACCTTTGTATTCTCTACATGAGTTTTTTGATTAATTTAAATGTTATAACTTATCTGTATGCCCAATTTCATGTATATAACAGTGTATATTATTAACTTATAATGTGTTTGTCTATTGTAAGTTTGTAAAAATGTTCCATCAGAAGAATGATCCTAGATCTACATTCTATTGACTCCATTCTGTATACACATTGTATAACAAATTAATAAAGACGAGGTGTTAGCCCATCCTACGTACGGGAATTCAGTTGTCAGTTAAAACCGTGTACAATTCAGATCAGCTAGTTTACACATATAAAGACAAAGTTTCTTGCAGTTTTAATGTGAAAAATCATCTTGTAAACAAATGTTGTGTGACCAAATATGTTTTTATTCCATCATAGGCCTTTACGATATGCATTTTAATACCGATAATTTTACAATAAAACAGCAATTCTGCAATTTTTACGATGTGAAAAGCGTTGAAGTGAGATTTGCAGCCGATTCGCACAGACGCACACTGATTATAAGTAGCCTACAGTAGAGGGAGTTAATAGTTAATTGAGAAGTGTATAGACCTAGTCAACGATACCACCTTCCGTAGCATACCTGCATCTTCCATAATTATTATCACCACAATACAACTACTATACACAATTTCCAGTAGGTCTGAATAGAAACGACCTAAATTAAAACGATAATATCCAATAAAATTCACAGTACACATAATTTAACTTTGGTGTCCTAACATAAAAACTAATCGTCACATCTATCCTTTATATCAATTTCACTGCATTAATTGCTAAAAGAAAGCGAGCTAATAAAAACGTTTTAATAAATAAGTGTAAACAAAGAAAAGTTAATACAATAACAGTTTGTTTTGAAACAGATGTTTGGTTCAAATAACATTCATTTGAAAAAAATAACTGGTCACATGTTGAATTTAAAAAGTAAACACCCTAGTAAAGCTAGTGACGTAATTATCTATGTTAATAATCAATGCCATTATCAGTTCTATCCTTTGATAATTACCCACCCTCATTGAATAAATGTACATCGTAATTTCCCATATTAGTTAATTTAAACTACAATATATTCATAGTTGAAATAAAAGTGATATTTTCACGTTTGGGGGCGCTAATATAGGCACCCCCCAAACGTAACCACAACTGAACACGATTTCATAAAAGGATGGTTTGTCTAATTGCAGTATCCTAGGTCAATGTTGACGTTGTGTTCAATCTATGTCATCCATCTGTTTATCTTTGTATAAAACCCGACTGAGGTTGTGGTGGTAATTTAAAATCGTGATTCCTGATTATTCTTGATCTTATTTTTATGACATCAATATTTCCGGGCCTAATCCAAACAAAGTTAAAGCAGACAAACATTAATTGTAAACAAAAAGCTACCATGAAGAATTAAAACATGTAAACATTGTTATTTTTCTTATCTTTCCTTGAAAAGTGGAGTAGTAAAATAATTTGCATTTATCCTTTTTTATTAAGACTCGTGTACAGAGCCTCGATTTGTACGGTGGTTTAATTAATTTTGGTCTAAGCTATTTAAACTGTGGCCTAATTATCTCTACTAATCTTACTTATTTCCTATAATCAATGACAAAATAAGGAGTAGGCTAAATAAAATAACCTCATAGTTCCATAGTTTATATTTAACCAGCTGTTAGTTAAAACAAATTATATTGCTTTAAAACAAATCGAAGATTACAAAGATTGCTTTAAAAAATAATTTGAATAGCCTATCCTAGTAATTTACTATGTATATTTGATTAATCTGTCATTCTCTTACAGAAGAATTGAACGTATCAATGATTAGCATTACACATAGTATAAATAATTCAACCCTAAGTATGTCTTTACATTTTTATCCATATGCTGAATTTGTGACACAAAAGCTGAATGTTTACAGCTGTTATGTTAAGCAAATTATTTTATGCCAAAAGCTAGTTTAGAATATTAGCGTCGGCTGCTAGACTTTAAAAAAATTAAAACTTAATTTCTAAAAAACTGGGACCCTAAACTAAAATTATGGCTTCGACATTCCCTAGTTCTCAAAATTATCTTTCTTTCAAAACAAAAATCATGAAAATCCGTCGAGTGGTTGATTCAGAATCGTGAAATAAAAAAACACTGTTTCGTTTTAATATTATAGATATTTTAATCTCTAATCCCCATCTCAACTGGTAGTTTAAAAATACCCCCGCCGCAGCAAACGTGCAGACTAAGCGAATTTCCATTTCACTGATTGGATTTACACTGAAATGTCTACTTAAAAATATTACATTTCCCCATTTAAATAGAATTAGTTTAACAAGTACTTAGGTTTGCTGCATCAGGGAGGGTAAAACTGTTTTTTTTATTTTGTAAAATGTTAATAGTTAGTAAGAAATAAAAACATTTTCCAAATTTGATCAAAATATGTTCATAAACAAGCAAACTACAACAGTTTATTTATTCTCCTAAGAATAACATGGGAATTTTAAATTTACAATTTTTTGGAATTTTCTCCGTAACCATTAGGCGCATAATAACGCTTCAATATACTAAATTATTTTTGCTTGAGTTATCGTGCTAACGGACACACATACAGGGTGACAATTAAGTCTTAGGACGACTTTATAACTTTTAAACGACAAACGATATCACAACCACATTTGGTATACCGTTACTGGAAATTGTAAACTACTTTTCTGTGTACATTCATTTTAAAGGTCTACTTCAACTGAAAACAATCCCGCAAACCGCACTTCAAAAGGTTGATCCTGCGCAAAATGGCAGATGTTCAAAGATTTTCAAAATTAGCCAATTTCTTTAAATTAAAACACTTTTTTAAATCTTTAAACAACTGTCATTTTTTAACGGATGGTCCTTTTGAAGTACGGTTTGCGGCATTGTATTCTACTAATAAATACCTTTAATTTGATGTGCATATCGACCTATGCTTCCATTCAAGATTTACTTCCGACTCCTTGTGGGCCGTCGCCCTGAAGAGTTATTTGGATCACTGAATGTGAAGTTATGGGGATCATTTTGAAGGGAATTTTAAGCAAAGAAAAATGCCGCTTTTTTTACAATAAAAAACAATAAAAAATGACAGTTGTTTAAAGATTTAAAAAAGTGTTTTAATTTAAAGAAATTGGCTAATTTTGAAAATCTTTGAACATCTGCCATTTTGCGCAGGATCAACCTTTTGAAGTGCGGTTTGCGGCATTGTTTTCAGTTGAAGTAGACCTTTAAAATGATGTACAACTCAACATAGGCTGTCATTAATCCGACCACCATGTACACAGAAAAGTAGTTTACAATTTCCAGTAACGGTATACCAAATGTGGTTGTGATATCGTTTGTCGTTTAAAAGTTATAAAGTCGTCCTAAGACTTAATTGTCACCCTGTATATATATATTATGAATTTGAACGGATGGTGTTTTTGGCCTCTAGGGACCTCAAAACGAAAAAAAAATCGGTCCCGCGGCCAGGTCTTACCATGAGTACTACGGTAATAGCTTATTCCCTATATGGGAAATTCGCTAAAAGTTAAGTTGCTTAACAATAGTTAGCAATCCCCAAAATTTACAATTTGAAACTTTAACTTAGACCAACTACTCCCTTAATGCATTCTCAAATTAGCCTAGCATATTCCTTTTAGTTCCAAAATTAATTATATGTTTATTATATTAATATGGATAAGAACTATTGCAAAGCTTTTTCTAAAAAAAAAAAAAATCATTTTTCCTACAGTCACCTTACAATGCCTTCCTTGCACTGATTGGATGTTATAGCACAGACAGTTGTTGATTGTTGCATCTACTTACTTTTGCCACACTCAGTCTACAAATATTGATTTTTTGTTTACGATTTCCAGATATTTTCAATACTTCCTGATCCTGGAGCCTCCGCTCCAAGCCTTCCAGAGTTTGATGAAGAAACTAAGAAATATTTGAAGACTCTGAGACAACATTTGGAGTTACTTGCCCCAAATACCCCTTGAGGTCAGCTTGCTTACCTGAGAAAATGCGAGTCCAGAGGCTTTTATATAGATACACAATAAAAGAACACAAAGAACACTGATATTTCGTCCTGATAGGATTAAGAGTAATCTGTCAGAGATCTAGAGTAATCTAGTCAGATTTTCTGACTATGTAAGTTAGCTGAACGTTTTTACTTGTTATGTTACTGTTATTACTTGTTTAAACAATTCCTTACCAGCCAATTGGATTTCACAAATACTCCCTGAGTAATTTGTTAGTTTACATAGCCAATACAAGACCTGACATTAAGCTATGTTATGTCAAATGGTCAGTAAAACACTCATTCAGCGCAAATTAGGATAATTATTCTAGGTCTTTTTATCTTTTTACAAAGTAATTTTTCATCAATAGTATAAAAATGTTGTTGTTAAAATGAAACTGTAACAATTTATTGACACTTATAATAGACAATTTATTATACAAGACTGCACCTGTAGATGATCTAATAGAGCTTTTGAGATTTCTCAACTGAACAGAAAATGTAAGTCCTTTAGCAAATTTTCTATGCCCACTAGTATTATACTATTTGTGCTGATTAAGATGTGTTGAGTAGCTATACACAGAATAGACTTCCCTTTATAATGTAAAAACTTGAAGCCAAAAAATGTGCAATCTGTTGAGATGGTACCAACTAATGACAGTATTCTGTGTTAAGTGATAAATCAATCAGCTGTTCTGTTGACATGGATTTTAATTAATTTTTTACCCAATTCACTAGTACCCTCTGGTGAGATGGTCCTGAACTTCATCTATTTTTTCTTGGGTTCAAATTTTTACAGTGGATGAGAACTCTACTATAGTATGTTTATAGTATATTATGTCAGAAGGCCAGGAAGTAGGCGTCCCTCCCTCCTGCGACAACTTGTCTAATATTTATTGTATAGCTTTGTTTGGGCTTGGACAAGGCCCCACTAGAAAAAGCAGGCCATGCTGCAGGGTCCATGACGTCACACTAGTGGATAGTTTTCATTGATAAATTCATTGCCATCACCAATCCCATATGTTTTAGGTAAATAAACAAGCTGGCTGTTTGTAATGGTAAGAGTTTAGTACAACTATCCACCACTGTGACGTAGTGTTGCGCTACCCGCGCTGCAGCATGGCCTGTTTTTTCTAGAGGGGCCTTGGCTTGGAGCCTAATAAGAATAAGAATAATTTATTCCATTGATCATTTTACAAAGGAATAGGACAAGTCATATACATTACAAAATAATCATCTTAATACAATCAAATTTCTGATACATCAAAATATTACATAAAATACAATTAGGCATAATAACTTATTTTAATTAAAATTTAACATCAAAATTGCACTTGATAAAGTCACTAAGGCTGTAAAAAGGATTTTTAATAAACCAATTATAAATTGTATTAAAAAAAATATTATAAGCAACAAATTTTGCACTCTCAGGTAGTGTATTAAAAAAGCGAATTGAGTTAATTTTGGAGGAGTCAGCTGTTTTAGCCAGTCTATGAGGTTTCATGTTAATGAAGAAAGTTACTGCATTCGAGCTGATATCAAAGGCACAATCAACACTAGTTTCACAGTTCTAATGTTTGGAGTAAAATGACTGACAAAGAAGTGTCAGGTTGTATTTTGTAGTTTAATTACCTTAGCTTGGCCATTTCTTGAGATATTCAATGTAAAATATCGGTAGTTAGGTGCTATACTGAACAAATGTAAGTACTTTGTAAAATTCTAGTTTCACAATGATTTTTGGGCTTTCAGCTTCAACTCACATTACTGTTAGTATTACATTTCATACTCAGTAATATATTTATCCATACATGTAGAAATTTACCTTGAAATAGATAAATTATATTTTTCTTTAAAATATATTTAGGTAATATGTATTTATGATGATAATAGGTAATTTATTTTATATTGTCAATTAAGATTGCCAAAAAATAGTTTTGGATATTTTTATACGTATGAAAATTGAAAATATATTATTGTTTTTATCAGTATAAGTACTGTATATATGTCATTTTCCCTAGTACAAACCCTCTGTAATTTAAAATTCTTCATTGACGAGTCTATTGGGGGGTCAGGGTTTTAATTTAAAGAAACAGCTTGTGTTTGTTATGTAATAAAAAATCTATAAATTGACTATAACACCATTTTCATCCATCTTACTAATATTATAAATGTGAAAGTTTGTGTGTTTGTTTAAAGTTCAATCACGCATAAACTACTGATTGGGCTGAAATTTGGAATGATGATAGCTCATAATCCCGATTAACATATAGGCTTATTCTTATCTCAAAAATCCTTTTGGTCTGCGCCCCAGTGGCTTTGTAGTTCCCCATGTTAACCATAATGAGTATTCATATCTATATATTAATTTGAAACTGTTTTTCTTTGTCACAGCTATTTTGAGAGAACGGCTGGGCGTAGAAACTCGTCAGAGGTGTCTAAAGAAAGGTCCTTGGTCTGTAGATGAGCCATCAAAAGAGAAACATGGTGAATTCCCTTGGGGCTCTGCCCCCGTGGCCTTTAAATTCCCATCCCATGTTATTCTTATGGAGGAAAACGGGGTTTTTGTCACAGCTAATTTGAGAGAACGGCTAGGCGTAGAAACTTGGTCGGGGTCTCTAAAGAAAGGTCTTGGTCTGTAGATGAGCCATCAAAAGAGGAAAGAGGTGAATTCCCTTGGGGCTCTGCCCCAGAAGCCTTTAAAGTTGCCTCTTCAGATTTATTTACATTACGACCATATGCATAATTATACACTACTTTTTAATGCAACAGCTGTTAATATTTAAATTGTGATTTATTGAATTTGTCAAAATGAAGTACAGTACTTAATTGCAATGGATTTTTCTGATTTTAAAATTGATTTTCTTCTGCATCGTGTCATGTTTTGCAATATAATGTTCTATTACCAAATCAGTGGAAAATCCTAATATCACAGTAACTTTTAAAATTATTTCTTATGGAGTTAACTTATATCTATTGTATGGCTTGGTTTCTGCCTTTTTTACCACTTCATGGAGATTGTACGTAGGTGATATTCTTTGGCATATTGCATCTGTAGACGAAACTTGGGTTAATGTAATTATTACAATGGAAAAGAGCGAGAAATCCTGGAAAATTTAATATAGGCTAAAAATAAAACTGAATTAACACTGTGATACATTTCTTGAGCAATCATTGAAATAACCGATTTGCAAACAATGGAAACATAGAAAAAGTCATAGAACACAACAAAGTAGAAGAAATAGAAATAATGTTTTTTTTTACATTAAAAACACTAAAAAAACAAGATCAGCTTTTTGAAAAAAGATAAGATATTTACAAAAGATTTTGATTATATCTAACTGTTGTGTAGATCGTGAGTATTTCCATAAGCTTTGAGTCGCCTGCAATGCTTCGCAATTGCTCGAATTCGAGCAAAAGATACACTAGTTTAAAGGTAATTACAGAATTTAGTCAGTTGTTTCAACTAAAAAGTTTGTTCTATGATATTCAAAAGCATGAAAAGTTATAAGATTTGCTAACAGGGTGCAGCACTATCTTTTTTGCATTTATAAAAACAGCTAATTTGAACCAAGGGGTAGCAAAAAACTGTGACATGCAATGAGAACTGTCAAAGTTGGATTGTTTACAGTTATGTTTATGGTTTTAATTTCATGAATAATTTGTAATATTTTGCTAATTTTTCATAATTTACATTTCTCTATTGTATAGGTGAAGTGGTAGAGTGGCAGTGGTAATGGCGGATGTGACTGACGCGCTGACTTGCCCTGTGTGTAAAAATCGTTGTTTTGACGAAGAAAAAACCCTACAGTGTGACGGATATTGTGGTTGCTGGCATCACGCCAAATGTGTGAATCTTTCGGCTACAAATTTTAACGATTTACGGAAAATTGAAGACTTTATTAAGTGGTTTTGTGACGACTGCAACACTAAGCTCAAGTCTCATCTTGCTGTAAGGAAGACAGAATGTATCCTTAAAGGTGAGCTTCTTGACCTGAAGGAGAATTTCAACAATAATATTAATGCTCTTGAAAAGGAAATCAACATCTTAATGAATCAAGGCCTAAAAACCAAAGTCGTTTTAAATAAAGTTTTAACCAAGATTGACAAAGTCGACATAGTTGAAAATAGCGTAATAATATGCCAAAGTATGAGGAGTCGTCTGCAGTTTCAAAACAATATGTTTGTGATTTTTTATGGTGCCAATTATCCAATGTTTTAGAGTGTCATTTAAGAGTGATTGACCGAACTACAGTTTTAAATTATAGGATAAAATAAATAAATATAGGATGGAGAGGATACAGCTAACTCACCTGATGAAAGGTTGCAGACGAGTCAAAGAACACATAAAATCACACACATAAAATTATTTCGCCTCTTTCAGAGGCTTCTTCAGAAGTAGGCCTAGATGGTAGTTACAAAACAACAGTTTAAATAGGATGACACAGTTTGAATTCAAAATGTCTGACAGGTTGTCCAACTGACACTGCACAAAGCACTAAATACAGGCACATTGCAATATTGTATTTACATATAATATGTATATTGAAAAGCAAATTAGTTTTGTCCATGAAAATAAATACTTAAGAGTTAGCTGTGAGGGTGAGGATATGAGGATATTATCTAATGTTGAGGTTAGGTGGGGTTCTGGAGTTGGTCACAAACTGGTAAGCTAATTCCCATCTTCTGAGCATTGAACTATTGCATTGGTTCTTTGGCAATGATTTTAGAGCTTTTATGGTGAAACAGTCATCAAATAGAAGTTGGTGGAATAAGGCATGTTGTGCAACTGGTTTTTCTTTGCTAGTTTTAACATCATGTCGATGGCCGTTCATGCGTTTTCGGAGAGTCTCGGTTGTTAGGCCTATGTACTGGGCTGGACAATGTGAACATTGAAGCTGGTAGATAAGGTTCTCTGAGCTGCAGGTATGATGGCCTTGGATTCTGTAATTTTTATTATTATGGTGTGTGCTGGTAAAAGTTTCTGTAGGATGGTGTATCTGGCAAGATTTACATCGGTTTTCATTGCATGGGTATGAGCCCGGTCTTGGTTTCTCAAATGGTATTTTTGATGGATTTGGGAGTTTTGGGTGGACTAGCATATTTCTCAAATTTGGGGGTTGCCTATAGATTATGGAAGGGGCTCTTGAAAGGAGGTTTTTGGTTTGGCTGGAGGACTCTAGGATTTTGAAACCTGTTTTAAGGAGGTTGTTTAGTTGTTGCAGGCCAGGGTGGTAAGTGGTTATCAAATTTACTTGAAGATGGTTGGTATTTTTCTTTGTAGTTGGACGTGGGTTCTGAGCCGCTTGGATCTGAGATTTTACGAGAGTACTAGGATAGCCTCGGTTTTCGAAGGCTTTTTGAAGTTGGGTTTGGTATTGTGTACGGTCTTTCGGTTCTGAAATTAGGCGATTTCCCCTTAGGGCAAGACTGTAAGGAAGTGATCTCATGGTGTTATTCGGATGACAACTAGAAAAATGGAGGTATTGTTGGTGGTTGGTCGGTTTTATGTGGATAGATGTGGTGAGGTTATTGTTCCTTAGATGAATTGTAAGGTCTAAAAAGTTTATGGAAGTCTCAGAGAAATCCCAGGTGAAATTTAGCGGTCCAAAACTGTTGAGGTCTTCCAGGAACTTCCGTAGTGATTCTTCACCGTGGGTCCAAATTATGAAAATGTCGTCAATGTATCTAAACCAGCAGATGGGGAGGTGTTCACGGCTAGACAAAAACTTTTCTTCATAATTCCCCATGTAGAGATTAGCATAAGATGGGGCCATTCGTGTACCCATGGCAGTGCCCTTGATCTGTAGGAAGTGTTTGTCCTGAAATTGGAAATAGTTCTTTTCCAGAATGAATTTTATCAGTTGAGTTATAAACGAAGTGGTGGGTAGGGATCCTTTGGGTCTGTTTTGAAGGTAGTTTTCTGTTGCTGTTAGGCCGTGGACATGAGGTATGTTTGTGTAGAGTGAGGTGACATCAATAGTGGCCATGAGAGTGTTAGCGGGGAGTGGTTGTCTGACATTGTTAAGTTTTTGCAAAAAATCATTGGAGTCCTTGATATATGAGGCCAAGTTTTGTACTAGCGGTTGTAGATAGGCGTCTACGTATGAAGAGATACGTTCCGTTAAAGAACCGCAGCCTGATACTATGGGCCTTCCTGGCGGTGGTGTTATGCCTTTGTGGATTTTTGGTAATATGTAGATTTTTTGGCAGATGGGTTCTTCTGGTATTAACAGATTTGTTGTTTCTGGGGAGATATTGTTGGATTTGGAGTGTTTGTAAATTATTTCCTTGAGTTCAGCGGTGTACTTTATAGTTGGATCTTCTTTCAGAGGGAGGTAGGTGGAAGAATCACTGAGCTGGTGTTGGATTTCTGACACATAATCAGATTTATTCATTATCACTGTGGTCGAGCCTTTGTCAGCTGGAAGGATCATGATATCAGTATTTGATTTTAAAGTTGAAATGGCTTTTTTCTCGGCTTCGGTGAGGTTATGGAGTGTTGTAGAGGTTACGTTGTTTTCGAAAGTAGGATCTGAGATGTTTTGTACCAAGAAGTTGATATATTGTTCTATCGGATGGTCTGCTGGTAACGGTGGGGGATCGAAGTCCGAGGGTGGAGCAAACTTCGCTAGGGAGGGCGCCACACTGTTGGATTTCGAGTTGTCTTGATCTTGTGAGTTGAAATAATGTTTGAGACGTAGGTTCCTAGCTAGCGACATGATGTCTTTCACTAGGCCAAAATGGTCAAAACGGGGTGTGGGACAAAAACTGAGACCCTTGGTCAAAACTGTTTTTTCTATTTCTGAGAGCTGGTGGTTGGATAAGTTGCAAACTTGTTGGTCATTTGTAGAGGTTTCAGGGTTGTTTGGGACAGAATTGCTCTTGAATGGGGAAGTAGGAATCTTCGGTGGTTTAGGTAGAAAGGGTTTTTGGCCTACTGGTATTGGTAGTCCTAAGAGGGAAGCCAGACAAGGCCTATCTGAGATTAGAGGAACCTGATGTGGTTGGGTTTGTTGGACTAGGCCTATAGATCCATATTGATGTACATGTTTGATACAAAGGTTAGAGAGTTTTCTGAGTTTTCTTTCAGCTTCTTTGGTCATATTAATTAAGGCTTTCTGTGCTATTGATTTGAGATTATCTGCTAGTTGTGGTTTGTCATTCAAAATCAGCTTTGTGAGGTCAGAAAGAGCTTTTCTGTGGTTATACATTTGTTCAGAGTACAGTTGTAGGACAGATTTAGTCAAATCTATTGATTGTTTGTAGGCTAGGGCTAATATAGCAGGCCACATATTAGGGGGCATGCCACTGATGGCTGGTTTTACAGTTAGGCCCACTGGAGTTAGGCCTAGAGTAAGGCAAGAACTCAGGAAATGTACATGACAGGTAACTTTTGATAATTTGAAAGCATGTTGTTTGGCTTGTTTTAGCCAAAAGGAAGATAGGTTCATAGTGGATAGGATAGTTGGACAGTAACACTAAGGAAACAAAGGAGTAAAGGAAAGAGTGAAAAGATTTGTCACTTTAAGGTTATGTTTTTAGGAAAAAGCATTTAGCTTGGATTAAATAAATAAATATAGGATGGAGAGGATACAGCTAAATCACCTGATGAAAGGTTGCAGACGAGTCAAAGAACACATAAAATCACACACACACACATAAAATTTTATGTGTGTGATTTTATGTGTTCTTTGACTCGTCTGCAACCTTTCATCAGGTGAGTTAGCTGTATCCTCTCCATCCTATATTTATTTATTTAATCCAAGCTAAATGCTTTTTCCTAAAAACATAACCTTAAATTATAGGATAAGTATCTTTATGCAAGTAAAACTATAAACTTTTAATAGACTTTTAAAATTTTACAACTAAAAGGACTTATAAATAAACTCACATTTCTCCTAGCCAAAAGCACATGTTTTTAAACACTAACTAAAAAACCTTTAAGAGGACACTAAAAGTACATTCATTTCACTTTTATTATTTATTGTCATTTTACTACTCAACCACTATTTTAACTTGGGTAAAATAAACGTTTACAAAGTAAGGATCCTAAACACATCAAGATAGACAGGAAGCAACAAAGACTAAGACACTACTTGAATTTAGCAGTAATTTCCTGTTTGGATCTCCACCCCACCCACTGCCCACCTGTACATCTGACCAGCTTATCACTAGGACCTGACCTTTGGAGCAACAACAATTGGAACAACAACAATCTGAGAATAAACCTAGATTACATCTGCATTGGGATAATATTTGTAAAGAGATTCATCATCTAGAGTTATTTTTATTTACAAATCGTTTAAGAAGAGGATTTTTATTTTATTTATTGATTAAACTTTTAATACATTTACTTATTTATTTTAATACAATTGACCTTTGCTTAGCACTGTGAGAAGATAAGTTGGATATTTACCATTCTGTTTAATAATATACCTGGGTCTATTCAAGGGCCATGGAATACTTATGGGCTTAAAAAATAAAAGATCAAATGCAACTTTAATATTACAAAAATATGACTGAATAACAGTAAATTAACACTCTGGTTTTGTCCATTATTTAATATTAAGTTTTACATTATGGATACTAGTAAAAACAAATACAAGTATGGAATTGGAGATAAAGTGTTTGCTAAGGTGAAAGGCCATTCACCTTGGCCGGCTATTGTTGACAGTCATGAATCTAACTCAAAATACAAAGTGAAATTTTATGGTACATCAGAAATAGCTTATGTTAAGGAAATTGATGTTTATCCATACCTAGAAAACAAATCTCGGTTTGGTAAATTAAAAAACAAAAACTTTACAAAAGCCATGAAGGAAATTGAGCTGTCATTTGTTAGCAGTAAATCTGCAAACAAGTCTAAAATTAAATGCTCAAATAGTGATGTGATTTGTACAAGTGAATCATACGTAAAGGAAGGATCTGCAGCATCCAGCAGTCCTTTGTTGACAAACACCCCTTTAAATGTCAATGATGTATCCGTTAGCTATAACGATACCCAAGTTAACTTAGAAACTACTACATTGAGTTCCCAACATCTGCAAGAAAGCCCTGCCATAGAATTAAAATCCACACCACCCCAACCCACAACCAATTTAATAGAAGAAGGAACAACTAATAAACTTAGTCTTTCTCTTTTAAAAAATGTGTGGTTAACTGATGATGTAATACAAAGATATTTTGATCTGTTATTGAGTAACGTAACTAATCAAACAAACATCGTGCTTATGAATCCAGTGATTGCTCAAGCAATCAAATGCCTGCAAGATTTTGATTTTACCCTGGAAAATTTAAGTATGGAAACAAGCACACATATTTTTATACCAGTGAATGACTCTCCAGCTGTAGATAAACCAGGCGGCTGTGGCTCCCATTGGAGCTTATTGGTGTACGTCACAGGAGAAAAAAAGTTTTTGTACCTGGACTCAGCCGGATCATACAATTATATACATGCAGTAAAAATTGTTGAGTCACTACAAAAGTATTTCAAATGCACAGAAGAAATAGAAATATGTAATGTGATAATACCAAGACAATTAAATACCCACAACTGTGGTATTTACATGCTGCTATTCACAGAACTTATCATTCAACTAATCCTACAGAATGTGCCTCATGATCAATGGAGACTGTGTTTTCCGGACATACAAGAAAGTGATTTGTTGACAAAGAGAGGGCAACTGGCCATGATGTTTAACAACTCTCAAATCAACTTTACATCTAAGACAATCGCTTCAATGATGTTTAAGCCAATAATAAGTCATAGCACAACACATAAAGTTATTGATGTCAACAAATGTTCATCATCAGTTAGTTGCACTAATGTAAACTCGACCTACCAGAGCAACAACAATGCGAAGGAAAGTAATAGTAACCAATGTGGATGGATTTCTGTTACTAGGAGAAGTGGTTTAGCTGCTTCTAAACAACAACAGTCAACAAATAACATCCTAGCCCTGTCAAATAAGTATGAACATTTGCGTCACGATGTAGAAGATGTAAAAGAATCTCCATCCAACCAATCCATAAAAAGTAATGTTGTAAAAGAAAATCACCTACTAAGAAAATTAAATAACACTCTGGATGGTCAAAATAATACACTCAGTATAACTTTTTGCTCGGACAGCCAAGGAAGAAATGTGCAAGCAAAAATTGAAAGTTTAAGCAACAACAGGATAAAGGCCTTTGGATACGTCAGACCCAATGCGGGACTACTTCAAATAATTGAATCCTCAGTCATTGAAACACAGAATCCACTTGTTATTATGGGAGGAACAAATGAGTATTTGGACAACAAATTAAACTCTATTCACGAAAGCTTGGAGAGTAAGTTATCTCACGTTTGTAAAACAAGACCTACTTTCATCACAACTGTTCTCAAACGTTTTGATGTACCGATTACGCAAGATGATGCTCAAAGGTTGGCAGCAGTGAATAACCACATCAGGTCATTGGTAGCAAAAACCCAGAATTTATACCTCATAAATCTTGACGGATTTGGAAGACAGCATTTTACCAGACATGGCCTTCGTCTGAACAATATTGGAAAAAATAAACTCGCCCACCTTATTATTAATGCAGTAAATTGAAAATATAACTCATCCAAAAATATTCAAATAATTGAAACTCATATGAGAAAGTCAATAAATAAGTTCCACAACAAAAACAATGTTGCGTTTGCACATTGCATTTCGGCGGATGTACAGAATGACAAACAAATGAGTGCAGGTGTCGCTGTAGTTTTTAAAGAACACTTTGGTAAACCTGACACTTCTAATTTCACCAGCTCGCACCTGACTTGCCAAACTGCTAAGGAAGGAGCCACGGTGTACGGTCTTGTAACCAAAGCCAAATACTACGAGAAACCCACCCCAGAGGACTATAACGAAGCCTTTCAGCAATTAACTACTGATTTTAAGAAGAAGAAACTTGATAGGCTTATTTGTTCTCCTATGGGCTGCATAAGAGAAAATATTTCAACAGATTGTTTTGTTCACAATCTGGTAAAATTCCAGCAAGAAACCTCAGCCCATGTTACAGTAATAACATTCAATGAAAGATCAAGATGGCCAAAAAGAGGGTTAACCTTTGTTGAGTTTGTTAAAGAGCTTCGCAGAAAAATATCACACACACTGTCAATAGCCTGCAAGAGTGATAGCAAGATAGTTTCATCTGATTGTACAGCCATCACAGACACCAGTGACCAAGAACAGCTGGAAGAACATAGGACCAACACCACTCCTACGTCAGAACTGGTGAATGAACATCTGTCAGCTACTCTCTCTCAGGCAAGTCATCACTCCAGCCAACAACACGGCCCTCCTGTGGTGCCAGGCCAGCTGCAGTTCAGTGAAGTGGTCAAGTTAGGTAGTGGTGAAAAGCAGAGCATTTGTGATTTAAAAGCTGAAAATTCAGAGTGCCTTACAGTAAGGAATTGTCCTGTAAACCAGATTCCAAAGATTGTAAATAGTAATATAAGTTGTAGTGGATCGGCACAGTCATCTTTCTCAGCTTTAAACTCAATTCTACAAACCACCACACCAATAAAATAAAATCACAACATAATTTTATAAAAATTGTTCACCAGAACATTCAACACCTCCCCTCTAGGTTAAATTCACTACAGGCAATTTTAGACGAAATAAATCCCCATATAGTTATTTTATCTGAACATGACACAAAAGAAGAAGAAATAAAAAGGGTTAATTTAAATTCTTATTCAATAAAATCTAGTTTTTCTAGAAAAGTAAAGTCTAAAGGAGGGGTTATTATTTTGGCAGAGAAGAGTTTTGAGCTGAGGAGGGTCTCGGTGCCGGATACAATATGTAATGTTCTACTTGAGGAGTTGCAATTTGAATTTTGTGCCTGTAAATTTGTTATTAATAAGCAAAAATATATCATTATTGGTATTTATAGGTCACCTAGATCAGATGTAAATATTTTTCTGGACAGGTTAGATATTTTAATAGATTATTTTAATAAAAAATATGATAAAATTATTGTAGCAGGTGACCTCAATATTGATGTTTTAGTATCGGATAGCAGACATAGATTGTTACAACAGTTGTTAGAAAGAAAAAATATGAGGTACCTTGTCGAT